CAATAAGGAAACTTAAAGTTTAGCATGAGGTAAGATTTAATAATTAAAATTCATAATCATAAGCCCACCTGAAAATGAATTTAAACTGCCTATATGACCTGGGAAACCCTAAACTAAGAATTTAATTTTGCGAACCCTCCCTAAAAGAATTTACCCACTCTTTAGGTCTCTTCAAGAGTCCCAGAGATTAAGATTATTTAATTATTAAAACAAAATTTTTTTAAAAATACTTTGGGAAATTGAACCATCATCATCATCAACAAGAAGCAAAATTAGTTTCCAAAGGACTTCGGATATGTAAAATAAGTATGTCGTAAATATTTACAGAAATAAGAGATGGAATTATAACGTGGCAAGAAACAAGATACCATCAACATAACCAAGCAGGCAGGAACTGGATATTCCAGGATTTAAAAATACACCCTATGATATCAAGAACAGAAAATAAAATGTTCCTATTCTCCAATTACAAGAAAGGAAAGGACTGACTGTTCTTTAACCTTAGTCAACTAATCCCTAAACTATACTCTGAAATTCAACAAATCCTTAAACATTCTAGCTTTTTAAAGTCTCCAGAGTTGACCAAAGTCTGATACAATACCAACTTCTCTTTGTTTAAAGATTCTGTGTCTAAGAAGCACAGTTCTCCCTTATTTAGCAAGTAATAAATTCAGCATTTTTGTTTCAAACATATTGAATGGGTTTTGGTTTGAGGTTATATTGAGTGGTGGTCTCTTTCTTAAGAGAATTCAACAGATTAATTTAACAGCAAAAGGTAGGATTGGTAAATAAGAATAAGAGTAAACAAAAAATATCTAACCAAAGTACAGAAATTTTAAAAATTAAGAAAATATGGAAAAGAATATGAGATAATGGGATACCAAGAAAAGGTCTAACATAGTTATAACTGGAGACCAAGGAAGAGAAAGATAATACTAGAAGATACAGCAACTAATAATTTTTCAGAACTAATGAAATACATCAATCCATAGATTAAGACCTATAAATGCAAATAAAACTATACCTAGGCACATCATAATAAAACTTTTGCATAGCCAAACAAAGAGAAAATCTTAAAAACAGCCAGGGGAGGGGGTGGATGGTGGGTGGAGGGAAGACAAATTATAATAGCATCAAAAATATTAAATACCTAGGAATAAATTTAATGATATATATAAAAGAACTATAAAACCTTATTGAAAACAATTAAATAAGGGGAAGAACAACTGAGATGAAAATAAATAAAAAGCAATTACATAAATGGAAGAATAATTCATATTCATGGATTAAAATACTCTATATTACAAAAATGTTGTTTCTTCCCAAACTGATATATAGATGCAAAATAGTGTCATTCACAATCCCAGCAACTTTATTGTGAAAATTGATAAATGAGTTCTATAATTTACAGGCAATGCAGAGAGCCAACAATAGCAAAACAATTTTTGAAAAGGAACAAAGCTGGAAGATTATGCTACCTTATGCCAAAATATCTATTATAAAGTTATAGTAATTAAGAAGTAATTAACACAAATGTTGGCAATCAGAAAATAGAACAAATTATCTACATCTGTACGGTCCTATATGGCAGGCACTAGACACATGTGGCTATTTAAATTTAAATTTTAACTAACTAAAATTAGTTAAAATTAAAAATTCAGTCCTTAGTTGCACTGGCCACTTTCAAGAACTCAGTAGCCACACATGGCTAATAATGAATAAACTAAACAGTATATATACAAACATTTCCATCATGGTAAAAGTTCCACTAGAGAGCACTTATCTAAAAGGATACGTACAAGATTACCTGATTTATAACAAAGTCGACAATTTAATGCAGTTGGGAAAAGTTGGTCTTTTCAATAAATTTGTGATGGATCAGTGAGTCACCCATATACAAAATTAAATAAATAAATAATCAATAAACCCTGACTTCTACCTAACATATAAAAAAAAAAAATCAATTCCAAATGGACTGTAGATCTAAGTGTAAAAAATAAAACGTTTTTAGAAGAAAACAGAAAAGCAAAGATTTCTAATGTAGAAAGCAAAAAATGCCAGCCATAAAAGACAATACTGACAGAGTTTTCAAATGACATTAAAATTGAGAACTTCTACTTATTAAATGACATTATTAAAAAAGAGAAAAGGCAAGCCATAGCCTGAGAAAAATTATTTGCAACACATTTCCTGACAAAAGACTCTATTCCAAAATAAATCTGACAAAAGACTCCTTCAAAACAATAAGAAAAAGGCAGACAGACAATCCAGTAGAAAAATGGATGAGACATGAAAAGGCATTTAACAAAAGAGGATATCCAAATGACTAATAAGCATATGAAAAGGTGTTAAACTTCATTTATCTTCAGAAAAATAAAAGTAAAAACCTCAATGAATATCACTATATATGTCTACCAGAATATCTAAGGAAATTAAGTATGGACAATATGAAGTTATTTGTAAGAATATGGTATACTGCAACTTTTATACACTGTTGATACAAGTATAAATTGGTACAACCACTTAAAAAAATGTTTGGCCAAGTTAGGGGTTGAACTGATAGCCCCCAAAATGCATAGCTGAAGTGCTAACACTCAGTGCCTCAGAATGTGACCTAATTTGGAAACAGAATCATTGCAGATGAAATTAGTTAAAATTAAGTCATCAGGGTGGGCACTAGTCCAATATAACTGATGTCTTTTTAAAAAGGGAAAATTTTGACACAAATAGAGAGAAAATTATGTGAAAAGTCACTGGAAGAAGACAGCCATCCAGAAGTCAAAGAGAGAGACTTGGAACAACAGATCCTTCCCTCACAGTCCTGAGAAGGAAGCAACCCTGTCAACATCTTGATTTGGGACTTCTAGATTCTAAAACTGAGACAATAAGTTTCTGTTGTTTAAGATACCCAGTTGTTGTGGTACTTCATTAAGACAGTCCTGGCAAACTAATACAGGCAGTAGCTACTTAGTAGAATATATGCATATTTTATGACCCCAACAATTTCTCTTCTTGGTATAGGCATGACAGAAATGTATACATATATTTACCAAAAGACTTTTATAAGAATGTTCATAGCACTGTTTTTGCAAGAGCCCCAAACTAGAAACAACCCCAATGCTCATCAACAATAGAATCAATAAATAAATTATGGTGTATTTACACAATGGGATTTTATATCACAATGAGAACGAACCAACTATAGCCATATACAACAATATAGAAGGATCTCACAATGATGTTGTTGAGTGAAAGAAGTCAAACACAAAAGAGTATGCACGGATGATAACATGTAAAAGTAATCTGTGGTGTTAGGATAGTGGTGTTAGAACAGAGTAGTGATTGGGAGGGGGCAAGAGGAAGGTTTCTGGGATACTGGTAGTGTAATTCTACTTCTTAATCTCAGTGATGGCTATATTGTAAAATTTCTTCAAATTGGGCCCTTAAGATCTGCACACTTTTTTTCATATATGTTATATACCATTAAAAAGTTTTTAAAAAACTGAATAGGTGAATTAAACAGCAGATCAGAACTATAAGGGAGATATTTAAAACAGTCATTAATGTAGCACAAACACAGAAAATATAAGAGACATTAATGGAAGCATAGGATAGAGTGAAAACATCAAATATGTCTAACTGGAATTGCAGAAGAAGATAATAAAGAGAATTGGTAAGAATCATTATTTGAAGAAGAGCTAAGAATTTTCCAAAATCAACATGACAGAAATCTCAGATTAAAAATGCACAATAATCCCAAGCACGATAAATTAAAAATATATACATATACGTGTGTGTGTGTGTGTGTGTGTGTGTGTGTGTGTGTGTGTGTGTACTGGATAGATTATAGTGAAACTGCAGAACTCCAAGAACAAATAGAAAATCTTAAAATCAGACAGATAAGAGACAATGATCTATAAAGGAATGAAAATTAGACTGATTTCTTTGTGGGATATTTTGCATTTTGGGGGGGGGGGAGGGAGGAATTTTCAAACTCACAGAAAACCCCAAAAGAATAATACAAAGAAGACGCTTATACCACTACCAGATTCACTCTGTTAACATTTTGGCTGACCCACTCAAAGTTTCTCTAAACATACACCTGTACTTTTCCTTGGGGAAAATGTAGAAAGTAGGCTGTAGATAGCAGGATTCTTCATCCCAGAATTCTTTATCATGTATTCCCCAGGAACAAGAACATTCTTCTATTAAACTATAACACCTTTACCTCATCTAAGATAATCAACACTGAGTCAATAACATCATTCTAATAGAGTCGAGATGAAATTTTCCTAGTTATCCCAAAAATATCCTCTAAAGTTTATCTTTGTACTTATCCAAGAACTAATCAAAATTTATGCATTATTTCAGGTGTTCTAGCTCTTAGTTCTCTCTCAATTTGGAAGATTCTCACTACTTCCCTTGGTTTTTCGTGACACTGAATCATTTGAAGAGTTCAGGTCAGTTGTCCTGAAAAAATGTCCCACATTTTGATCTGGTTTGACTGTTTCTTCATGATTATTCAGTCAAGTATTTCCAGGAAGAACACCACTAAGGAATGTTGCATCCATCTCATACACCACATTATGCCTGTAGCTGTCCCACTACTGGCAATAACAACATTAACCAGTCTGTAATTTTTCTCTTTGTAATTAATAAGTCACCTGTAGGGTAAAATTTTGAGACTTGAGAACACACTTTTTAATGGCAACTCTGAAAGCCAGAAGACAGTAGACTACAACTTTCGAAGTGCTAAGGAAAAAACTGCTACTAAAGTAGAGCTGTATTGCCAACGAAAATATCATTCATTAATAAAGGCAAAATGAGGTATATCTTGAAATTATTTCATGATCCAGTAAAAAAAAAAAAATTAATGGGAAGACACACATATGTGCATATGTGCGTGCGCACACACACAAATGATTTTGCACAGAGCTTTGTTTTTTATATACTTGCCAGGGATTTAACACTTTTAGCATGTCTTGAAAAAACTACCTTACCTGCCATTCCTTCTGAGGGCAAAAGTGATGCCATCTTTCTGGAAAGGAAGCAGCTTTTCTCTTAGTTTGTCAGGCAGAAAATCCAGCTGTTTATAATGTTCACTTGTCAAACAAGACATCTGAGGTATAAGAGATCTTTTTATGTTATGAATTCTGGACATGATCATCCTAAAAAGAAAGAGATCACAAAAGGGGAAAGATGGGGTTAAATTACTAAGTGTATCAGAGAATTAAATATAAATAATAACATTAAAGTACTTATCAGTAGCCTTGATAAACTATCTACATAGATATACACTGGTTATATCATGTTCCCAGAATAAGCTATTAAGAAAATTTAAACACTGATTCTAAAAGCAATTACTTAATGCACTCCCTAAAAACTCAGCATCCTCTATTTCATTTGTATTTCTAATTGAGCCATACTATAGCCATACTCCTATTTAATAAATGTGTTACTGAGAAGTTATAAATCAACTACATTACAAACTGAATAATTTTTAAATGATTTTGCCACAGAAAAATGAATCCTTTTTATAATTAATCCTTTTACAGATATATATATTTTTATATCATACAACCAGGTTTTCTAATAATGGGGTAAAACTGCATTTTAAAAATTCTAAACTACAAAGACATCAACTCTAAATTTATAATAATTAAATTAACTCAATATTATTAAACGAGATTTATTTTTAAATATTAAAATGAATTTTCAAATCAATTGCATCTATGGTATAAGCTCTCTGATTAGCACCTTCCTACCACTGGGTTTCCACAGATATCATTTTAAGTTTCCAACACATAAAAATTTCACACATCTATAATTTCTGAAAATTCTGCAAGGAAAAGTCCTATTAAATCCTAAACTATAAAGCTTTTCTAATAATAATACTTTGTATTCATCTATTTTTTTAAATCTTATAAGATTTTTGAGTCAAACTGATGACAATTGCTGGGAAGCAAAATCTCAATGGATTTAGAAAATGCTCCCAAGAATGGCAGTTTTGCAGCTTATTTTACATATCAGAATCAAAGGAGGAGACTAAGGGAGAGTTATGTGAAATCCATCGGTGGTAGATTAAGGGGACAGGAGAAAACAAAGTGAGGAAATCTCTGGGATTGGATAAAAAGTAAAATGGAGAGACATATTGTGGGTACAGAATAGTTAGCATTTACAGCACATAGAAATGGTATTTGGGGAACAAGATAACAGTGAGAGGTTCTGTGCTTTGGTCCCTGGAGGTTGTCTTCAAGAGATCTGGAAAAGATTACCCTGATGTTTTAAAGGTGTTATCTTAGATGCAAAATGACAATAGACAGACTCATTTAAGGTTAAGATTGACCTTCATTAAGGAAGCTACATGCTCGGATGTAACTACCACCAAGACTCGCTTTTAGTTAGAAATTTTTATGTTCAGACTACCCTGTGTGGTTACTCTCGGTCTCTGAGTTTGCAGGGCCCATCAGCTTGTCAGCTTTAGTATGTGGCCCCTTTTTTGTCCACAATTTATTGAGCACCTACTCTACATAAGACCTGGTGTTACATGCTGCAGAATATTCAGAGATGAGTAACATTCCTGGTCCTCAAGGAGCTCATGATTTTTGGACCCATCCTCAGATGAGGGCAGAGCTTCCTCCCCACCCCCAGTCTCAAGAGAAGAAATCGGGGTGGGTGTGAATCAGAAACAATTGTGTTTCAAGGAGGCTTTATTTGCGGGGAGTGGGGTTCTGCCTGGTCCTGTCCTGCCAGGCCCACTCCATCCTAGCCAGCTGGCTTTTCTTCTTCTGGATCTCCAGGGTCTCCTCCTTCCAGATCTCCTTGGCTAACTCCCTGGTCAGTCTCCGGTACTTACTGAAATTGAGCTCTGAGTCCTGATTCACAACCAAGCTCTTCATCTTGTCATCTAAGGAGCTCACATCCTTGAGCAGCTGAAGCAACTACTGTGTGGCCAGTTTCTTAAACTCGTCTATGCTGAGGCTGACCTTCTGGCCCTTTAAAGGTGAAGAAGGTGGTGATCACTGTCTTGATGGCCGCTTCCAGCTCAGTCAGTGGCTCTGCTGCCATTAGGACCGTGGGGCTGGAGCTGATGTCCTCACAGGGTTGACCAGGGCAAGTAGCAGAGATGGGGTGCAATGCCACTACTTTGTATTTACATTACATCTTTTCATCTGTTTATATGTAATCTCTTTCCGTCTTAAAAGAGATTTGCTTTTTTCTCAATTACTTACAGACGTACAAAACTTTAGCCTACCTTCTCCCTCAAAAAAGTAATCCACCTCTGTGTTCAATGCCTAAGAACTTTAAGAATTCAACGTTATTTATTAATAAAAAATAGGTACATGGCACACCCTCACGGAGCTTACATTCTTGAGACTAAAAATAAACAAATAAACAAGATGATTAATTATAGTATAGTATAAACGTTATGAAGGAACTTAAGAGTATGGTAATGACCATGCTAGGTAGAGTGACAGTCTGAAGTAACCAAAAGAGTCAGCCAGGTTCAAAATTGATAAGAGCATTGTAGGCCCACGGCAACAGCAAAGGCCCTGAGTTGAGAAAGGGCTTGGTGTTTTCTAGTAACAGAAAGGAGACCAATGTGGTTGAACCAAGGGAAAGAATGGTATGAGATAAAGCTACTGAAATAAGCAAGAGTCAGATCACAGAAGGACTTGATAAGGACTTTGGATTCTATTTAAGAATGAAGGGAAGCCAATAGAGCTGTGCTGTCCAATATACTATTAGCAAGATGCGGCAATTTAAATTTAATTAAAATTAAAAACTCCTCAGTTGCCTTGATCATGTTTCAAGTGCTCAATGTCCACGTATGGCTAGTGGCTATTATATTGAACAGTGTAAATATAAAACATTTCCACCTACACTGAAAGTTGTATTGGACAACACTTACGGAGAATTTTAAGCAGGAGAGTGACACAATCTGACTTATATTTCAAAAACCACCAATGGAGGACAAAACTATCAATAGAAAGGCAGGAGATAAATGTTCTTATAGGACATGGCCAGTACACGAAGACTCCACTGCTTCAGGAGGCAAGTGGATTTAGAAATGATGTATGACTCAGACCTGTCTGATAACCTCTTCGTCAACCCCAAGGAGTGGGCATCCCTAGTAACAACAAAAACAACCACAAAACTGAGTAAAGAATAGAGAATGGATCAAAAAGGAGAAACTGTGAAAGCAAGAAACTTTATCGGGCTACAAAAGACAAGGAGAGAATCATCTTCAGCAGTGGAACTGGAGAGATTGGGGAAATGCAAACAGGACTTGCTGATGGAGTACATGTGGAGAATGGAGTACATGTGGAGCGATAGAGTTGATGAAATTTACTGATAGTAAAGACGAAGAAAGGGATGGATTTAGGAGAAAAAAATCAGTAAGTCTTTTAGAAATATATAGTTAGAGATGGCTATAAAATATAGAATGGAAATGTCAAATAGGCTTAGAAATATATGTCTGGAATTCTAGGGAGAACACGATGCTGGATACATGTTATCTAGGAGTCGACATGGGATAGTGAATCTATATCATTCTTTGAGGTCACCCAACATCTAGGACTCCTGCTATGTTTAGGAATTTCCTCACATTACAAATCTGAGTGGGAATTAGACATCACCTTCCAATAAAAAAGCTAGAAGTATCAGATTCTTGTGTTCCCAGGCTGTCTTACAGGTAATGGATTTGCTAATCAGATAGACCTATTCTGGACTTCAGTCCAGAAAGTCAAAACTCAGAGGAGCAAGGATCAAGTGAAACCCATTCTGGCAAGAACAGCAACAGTAGAAAAGAGCCATGTCCACTTTCCAGAAGTAAAAGGGGCTCAGAAACACTTTTCAGGATCAATGGTACAAGGGGTACCAGGGTTAAGCATGGAACACTGGCAAGAAGCTAAGAAGAATATACAAAAACCATTCTACTATTACTTTTGTTGGTTTTTTTACAATGTAAAAATTTTAACACTCCAAGAAAAAATACATGCTACATTGAGGTCGCATTACAATTTATATTTAGGTTATGTTTATATTTAGGTTAGATTTAGGTTAGGTTATATTTATTTTATGAGGACTGAATTGGGTACTCTATTCGTAAAAATAATCAATGAAACTAAAGTCATCTTAATAAAAAATTTGTTTTGAGTCACAAGTAAGAGAAAAATCAATTTAAATGTGAAGATTAAAGAAGTCTAAAATAGTATGAAAATGTTTAGAAAAATTTCAATTAAACTAAAATTATGGTGTGGCTGGCTCACTAATGATTCAAATAGGCACTGAATAAATAAAGAACTAAAAAAATATATAGTGGTACAATCTAATTAATAGAACATGAATGTTTTAGTTAATACTCAAAATAAAACAATTTTTAAAAGCCTTTTCCCATTTATACTATCTTCCTAAAGTCTACAAATTATAATGTTAGAATAAAAAGTGTTTTGTAGTTGAGCCATCTAGGTTCAACTGCTGCAACAGGACATTGTAACTAACATTACATTAATAACCAAAGACTCAGGCCTAATCCTCTTTTTAAATTATCAAGAAACTAACAGTTATAATAAATATGCATGTCTCTCTAATTATGAAAACTGTAAGGATTTAATTCAGATATTCAGCAAAAAAGGTTTTATTCAATGTGTACATACTATTTTACTTTTAGTAAGGTTGGGGGGGCTAGTAATATGGAGCCAGCAATACCATGTTATTAAAATTTTTAATACAACTATTGGCTAGAAAAATGTGGTGAAAGTAGAATCTAGCAGAACTCATTTTCTAAGTAATTTTCCTGATAAGCAAAGCTTGAGGAGAGAATGAGGGAAAGTTTTTATTTTCAGTCTTTAAAATCAAGATGGCATTTTTGTAATTCAGTTGGAATTCACTAATGAATTCTTAATAGCAGCACTGTGTTGAGAAGAATCAGATATTGTTAAAATATACTACCAAGAGATTTATTTTGGGACTAATGAGAAAAGGGCTGGTCAGGGAAATTACATACTTTGAGGAAATAATTTTATTTTTATTTTTTAATTAAAACCTTATTAGATGGGATTTACCGCAGAATAGGTATAGACCAAGAGAGAATACGTGAACTATAAGAGATATTAAAAATAAATGAACCAAAAATATCAATTATGAGAAAAAATGATCATGCTGG